GCGGGCACAGGCAGAGGCCGCCAGTAGCTAGCAAGTGCACAAGTTCCCACACACAGTGGCAAGCATCCCACCACTCACTGGACACATCGGGGGAGACCTGCACCTCGGCCACACCCACACTCACAGCATGGGCTTGGTGTGCTTTAGGAACTCATAAAACAGCCACTCAGCCAACAGAGAGCCAGGGGCCCATCCTTGCTGAAGGTGGGATATGTGCAATTATTCATAAAATAGAAAAAGGTATCCTCTATTCTGTTTGGTTAATTATTTTTTGTTTGGTTGGTTAGTTGTTTGCTTCTTTGCTTTTGGTTATTTTGTTTTAACCAGATTCTTTACCAAGTGCTCTTAAAAGGCACAAATTATTTTGTTCTCTAAAGAGCTTCGGGTTCCAAAAATCAGAACTAGAGAAGTTTTAAGATCTTCTAAAAAGTTGCTAGAGGGCCAGCGAGATAGCTCAGAGGACTGAGCACCTGCTTAGGCAAGCACAGGGACCTGGGATTTGATCCCGAGCACCACATGCCATACCAGCCCCACCTCTTGGGTGTGCTGAGCCAGTGACTGACTTCTGGTGTGGTGGCACATACCAGCAATCCCAGTGCTGGAGAGGCTGAAAACAGGAGGATCACTACAGTCTGAGCTGCATAGTGAGACCCCTGTACCATTTACCAAATACATTAAAAATAAATAAATAAACAAACAAATAAATAAATGCTGGGTAGATTTTTAAGTCTGGAAGAGGCTCATAGAAGCAAAATGGAAGGAATGTTGAAAGTTCTTCTTTTTCTTAAAAATTCTATTTCTTTTTTCTTTTTTGGTATGTATGTATGTAGTACAGGGTCTATAGGGTCTCACTATGTAGATGGAACTCATGGTGATCCTCCTGTTTTCAGTTTCCCAAGCACTGGGATTGCAGGTGCGCACCACCACACCCAGTCTCATTCGCCCTCTCAGCATGCTCTGGGGGTGGGCACAGCAAGGCATGCCAGGGATTGAACTCAGGTCGCTGAGCCTGCCTAAGCTGGTGCTTTAGTCTGCTGATATCTGGATGGCCCAAAAAATTCTATTTCTTGATAGTGATATCCAAGAACAGAATAGAATGAGAATGCTTCCTGAAGACAAGGGCTACCACATAATTGCCTTCTGCATCACTGCCCTGAACCACAGAGCTGCCATGCGGTTTGTGTGAATTAAAGACAACTGGAACCACACACTGAAAAACTATCACAAAATTGTTTCTTTGTGTTTACTCAGCCAAGATACTCTCTAGATGAGAATAAATTTGAAGTTCAGCACTTCTGGTAAAAATATAATCTTCTCAGGTTGTAAAATGCTAAAAGGCAGAGATTATTTCTCATGAAATTTTATACCTCCTACAGCATCTGGCAAAGGGTATGTCAGAGGTTTTGAGCTTTAAAATACTTGATGAATGAATAAATGAAGTCTTGGATGAATGTATGAGTATGTTAATTTATGACCATAAGAGTAGAGTGGTGTGGTGGCTTGAATACACAAAGTATGAATGAATACACATGCGGATACATGCTTGCATTTGTTAGCAAGGCAATGAACAAAAGTGTTTGTTCCCAGCATCCTGCAAGGCCAACAAGGCTCTGGAGAACAGAGGTCACACACTAGAGCATCCTAACAGTAGAAGTAGGTCATACGGCCTCTCCACACTTCTCATGAGTCCTCTGTGCCTTTCTGCAGTCATTAATGCTCTACTGTTAGAACTCAGCTGCCATCTCAAGATGCCAATGATATCAGTTCTCCTAGGAATGATTAGATCCATGGTCCATACTATATACCAACATGTTTGCCATCTAAGCCCAAGACTGGTGATGGGTGCTTATAGAGCTCTCCCCATAGACAAGCAACGTTTCTTACAGGGAAGAGAATGACAACGAAGGGATTGAGGGTCTCAGTGGTATAGAATTAGAGTGCCTGAACACTCACGTCTGCCACACGGAGACACCCGGTAAGAAGGCTGTCAGAGCCTCCCTTCCTTACAAGGGAGAAGACTCTAGCACATTATGTATGAACAAACTACATTTGCAGTAGTTCTCACTGATTGCAAGCTCTTGCCTTGTGACAAACTGCTTGGTGATAAACACTTTAGAGAGAATATGCTGGCAGTGCTGCTGACATGGGTGGCTATTTGAGATGGAAATCTTCCTGAGGAGGTTTATCAGAGACGCCTCTAAGGCTCCTAGAGCAGACAGAATGAGAATGCTTCCTGAAGACAAGGGCTACCACATAATTGTCTTCTGCATCACTGCCCTGAACCTCAGGGCAGTGTGTGCTGAGAGTCATATTCGTAAGTAATCTCTTAGGTCAGGTTATCCCCCTGAGATGATTTGGAGAAGGTGTCTTTATACATTCTTAACATCCCTGTCAGAGAATGACACTTTTTGGCCATGTCTCCAAGTTTGGAGGATACATTCTGTTGGGAGCTAACAGATCCCTGTGCCATGACAGCAGTCAGAACTTCAACTCTATATCGAGGTCCTCAAAGCAACACACTGTAATGGGAAAGCAACATCTCCGGGACAGTTCTGAGTTTGACACCTAGCTCTGCCCTTCTCTTGGTGTGTGTCCCTGGCAAGTTACTTCACCGCTAAGCCTCTGCTCCTTCAACTATAAAATGGAGATAAGAGTGTTATCTATATTGGAGGGTTTTATGTGGGTTGAATTATTTAATGTCTGTAAAATTCCTACTAGCTTTCAAGCAAACGTAGGAACCCACTGAGCCAATTGGGGCAGGACAGAGCTTCCAGTTCTGTTTACACTTTCCAGGAGACCTCTACCTTTAAGAGTATAGGCTGATTCCGTGGTGCCCTTTTTAAGAAGATAAAGTTCTAAATATTTCTCCTGTTTCTTTCCACCCGAAATTTTCAACTTTACTGGGACATTACTGGTCTCGATGAAGGTAAGGATGACACCTTCATTGGATGTAGCCTGTGACCAACCCTGTTACTTCTAGAGATGCATAAGGTCTTTAACTGTGATAAAAGTGTTTCTCTAACACCACCCTTTCGGATGTGATGTCTTTATGCTTAGACTTGACACAAGAAGTCCCTCGTATCTATGAGGGGCTTCATCACTTTGGTCACATCTTCAAATGCTTGAGGGGTGGAAACTCTCCACCAGCAAAACAGCTTTAAGAGTTAGTATTTTTAGACACTGCTGAAGCCATCTCACAGAAAAAAAAAATGACATTTTGGGGCTGAGGAGATAGCTCAGTAGAGTAAGTGCTTGCCTGGTAAGCGCAAGGGCCTGAGTTCAATCCCTAGTTCCACAAAAAAAAAAAAAAAAAAAAAAAAAAAAATGAAGCCATCTCACATGTATGAGAATCATTTAATCTCAAAGAGCAGAACCCCAACATAAACTAGCTTCAAGAGGAATTTTTTTTTAATGATGTGAGGATACTTCCTAGGTCCCAAGGAAAGACTGTCGCTAGACTTCAGGAATAGTTAGAGGCCAGAGACCAAACACCATCAGGAATCTCTCTCTTGAGTTTGGTGTACTTGTTATCATCCAGCAGGTTTCTCTCCCTGGCAGAAAACACAAATTCAAGACTACATATTATAATTCCGAGCCCTAAAGAGACACTTGGGTCCAAAGTACAAACTTCCTGTGTAAGTGTCTCATCTGCCCAGTTTGAGTCAGATACGCATGCTGGAATCATTAACTGTACTCAAGGAATCAACTGTGGCCTGAAGCATTAGGGCCAGTAGTGCTACTATAGTGCTATCCCATGCTGGCCTACAAGCTATTCATTATCTATCTGAATCATTCTGCTACTAAGTCTGAGAGTAAATATTTCTAGACTTTTATATTAATTTCACATTTCTGTGATACTCTAGAATATGATTTTCTATTTTTTCAGGGCATCAACTTATGACAGATCAGAAATCAAAATGTTTAAGTAGTTTGAAAGGCACTGGTGAAGACCTGGCAGCTCCTTTAGGAATCATGTGCTTAAGAGAAAGAGGGAGACACAATGAAAGGAGAAAGCAATCAGCACTGAGCACATTATATATGTACCTAGCTGTGCACTTTACCAAACTGACCCACAGTAGGAGACTTACTCACTGGAAGACATCAAGGACCGTTTGTCTTCCTTGTTAACATTTCATTATATTTGCGGTGGATACACTTTATGACTGTCTTCCTGCATTGGCTCGACCCTTGAGAGCAGACATTTCTAACCTATTAACCAAGGTCAGCCCATGCTCACTTGTAGGGGCTCAGCAAACAATTGCTTCAATGAGTCACTGCACTTTAAGGATGCACTTTAATGTCGGATCTATCTCGAGGCGAGGTCCCTTCAGCAGAGTCCAGCAGAACCTGAAGCTGCAAATGACTGCTAGAAAGAAAACTACAATAAACTCTGGTCACGTAGAAAGGCTTGATATTGATATACTGATTTTTTCATATACATATGAAACCTACAGCTCATAGTGACCTTAATAGTCGGTCTTGAAAAGGGACAAAAATAAAATAAAATTGCTATATCATGTACATTGGCTTGTCATATGTGACACACTAATACTGAACTTTCCTAAAGTGGACACAGCTATGTGAATCTCTGAGTTCATAAGGAAAGATATGTTTGGATTATAAGTCAAAGCTTTTCTGTAAATTCTATCAATAATTTGATTGTTACTTTAGGCAAATCACTTTCCTCTTCCAGACCCAATATTATCAAGTTGTAAAATGACATAACTGAAATAAATGCCAAAAGTCTTCCCAATCATTCATAATTTTCTCATTCTCTAGACATCTCTGTGCATAACCTTCATCAGTCAGAAGATTATTAGTTACCCATTTTTCATTTCCCATAATTCCCATCCCTTGAAAGAGATAAGGTTCCATTTATGGACTTGCTATTTCTCAGAGGTTCAGCACTGGTTAATTGTGGTTGCTGTGTTTTATAAACCGAGTCTAATGAGTTGTGTTAAAGTTATTTGTCTGCCTGTGCCTTACCCTTTCCCCTACAGCCATGCTGCAGGCGGTGCGAGCCCTGATGATCGTGGGAATCGTGCTTGGCGCCATCAGCATCCTTGTGTCCATCTTTGCTCTGAAATGCATTCGCATTGGAGGCATGGAGGACTCTGCCAAGGCCAAAATGACACTGACCTCTGGGATCATGTTCATTCTCTCAGGTAAACACGGGTTCCTGCTCTCAGGTGTGCTTCTGAGAATATCATTCTGGTTGAAGATATGTGGGTCCTCATTACTGAGCATGGTTCAGATCTTTGCATGCTGGGAATCAACGTCTGAGTGTGGAAGTCTAATTGCATGCTCATGAGTGCTAATGACCCTCTCAAAGATCACCCCAAACGTAATATAAGAGTATCATATAAGGTAATCATGTGACTAATCCCTGAAAGGAATCTTCTTAATGAAAAAGAAAATAATTTTAAAAAAAGAACTCTTGACAACAAAAGATCAAATGCAAAATAGGACAATTTACCCTTGGTCCCTAGATGCACGGGGCTCTCTCCCTCTCTCCCTCTTTCCCTCTCTCCCTCTCTCCCTCTTCCCCTCTCTCCCTCTCTCCCTCTCTCCCTCTCTCCCTCTCTCTCTCCCTCTCTCCCTCCTCTCCTGTACTCCTCTTCCTCCTCTCTCTCCCTCCCAGAACTAACAAGGTACAGATAAGCATCTAGGTCATCATCTAACACACAGTGAGAACCCAAGAGTCAATGATTAATGGACCATTCTGTATAGGAATGGAATATTCTGCAGCCTCCTCACCTACACTCATCTAAGAATAAACTTCCCTAAAGCTGACTCCGAAGCTTTCTTGTTCTTTGTCAACAGGTATTTGTGCAATTATTGGTGTGTCCGTGTTTGCCAACATGCTGGTCACTAATTTCTGGATGTCCACAGCGAACATGTACGGCAGCATGGGTGGGATGGTACAGACTGTTCAGACCAGGTAACTTTCCAATCTATTTCTCAATATTTCATGGTGAATATTGTTGTAAGAATCTGATTAAACACATGTGCCTAATATGACTGTCAGTGCCTGGAATAGCAAAAATTTATCAGATAGAACTATGGCGTATCATAAATCAACAGTGGTCTATAAGTTCATAAACTTCATTTCAGTGAAATATTCTTGCTGACATGACTTTAGGTTGATCTGACATTTGCATTGAAATACAGTGACAGTTCACAGCATTTATCTAGCACTCTTACATAGGCCCCATTGTGGTGGCAACGAAACAAGCAGTTAACCAGGCATGGAAATGAACATCAGCTTACATTTACAGTCCGTTGTGGCAGCCTGGCTAGGAAAAGGTAAAAAGCTGGAATAGAAATGAGCTTATTTGAAGCCTGGAGTTGGAAGAGGGTAGAGGGAGTAAGGTAACATTTTTTCCTTGTACCACTGTGTCTTTCACTCCATCGTTTGTTCATTTTTTCTGCACATGTGTTGAGCATGTCTCATGGGTCAGGAAGTATTCAGAGTATGAGAGATACAATGCTGGGGATATAGCTTAGCATCACAGCACCTTCCTGGCAAGCTTGAGGTTGTGAGTTCAATTCCCAGACCAAAACCAAAACCACCACAGTACCAGAGACACAGACAAGATTCTTCCTCACGTACAGTCCAGCACAGAGAGAAACAGTTCTACTATAGTTTGGTGACTGGAGTATAACTTTTAAAAGATAAAAAGCCAATGCTAACACTTGTGTTCATTTAGCCATTTCAAATTAGTGTATTTAATAGCAAGAAGCAATGACAAATCCTGAAGGAGAAAGATCTTGTTCTGGGAGAGAAATATAAATATTATACCAAAGTGACCTTTCCTCTCTGTGTTGGGTGCTTGGCATTTCTGCAGCCACACCAACATAAATAGGTGTGATGATATGATAAATCCATTATTCTTTGGATCCCTAGTCCAATCACCTCTACATTTCTGCTTTGCTCAAGAATAAGAAAATAAATGATCCCCATAAGCTAGCTGTCCTCATGCTCTGCCATGTTCCCCCCACAGTTTCTTGGTTACCAGGGCAACTTAAAAGTAGGCAGGTTAACTCACTTCAGTTTACTTGGGACTTTCTCAGTTTGCACACTAGAATTCCCACATTCTGAGAAATATCTCCACCATGGAAAAGGCAGAATTGTTGATCAGTCTACTAAAACAAACCCTACCCTGTCCAGAGTATCAAGTGGGGCCTATATCACTACCCTTCCCCAGAGGAGCCGACCACCAGCACCCAGAAAGAATGCCTTCTACCACTCTTTCTTGGCATCTTCTACCTTGGGCAGGCAGTGTCAGCCTACAATTCTGACTACAGATTCTGAGAGGCCCCTAGATATCACTTGCCATGAATGAACAGCTATATATCTCCTTCTTTCTCTATTCATTTTCTTTGTTTTTGTTTTTGTTTTTTTGGCGGAACCAGGGATTGAACTCAGGCCCTTGTGCTTGCCAGGAAAGCACTTATTCCACTGAGCCATTCCCTGGCCCCCTCTATTCATTTTCTGTATCTGGAAATCATACAAGACAGCCCATTTGCCAAGAAAGATTTTGGCAATCCATTTGATAGAACTTTGGTTCTGATGCCCCATTACTGTTTATCTCCTCCTTCACGCACACCACTACTCTGTCACTGCTATGTTATGTGTTTTGTTGCCCAAGCCTAAACCCTGGATCAGAGCTACAGACTGCCTGCCTTCCCACGGCATGCTGCCTGCAAGGTATTTTGTATTAGCCTAAACACTTCCTTCTATAATCTGGATTAATCACTAATTTAGAAGTGCCACAGATTGTGTTCCTCAGAAGCAGATCTTGAGAAGAGGCTCCTGGAAGAAGTGTGTATTAAGAAAGGAGGTCAGGTTAGGAAATGGAGAAAACAGAACAGGAAAGGGAAGAGCCAAGAAAGAGTGTGATTTCATATGCATATCTGACTCAGCCTCATCCTAAATCATTGTGTGGTGTGAATTACACCTCCAACTTGTCTCTAAAGATCTGAGCTTTTGTGTTTCCATGCCAATCACACCCAGTCCACACAGCCAAGGGCTTTGGGGGCTAAACAGAGACAGAACTTGAGGGAGACCAGCAAGAGACCATCAGCTAGAGGCAAAAGAAGATAAGCTGGAAAAGAAACATAGATATGGCTAAAGGGGCAAAGGACTATCAGTGCTGTACAAGCAGATTTCACCATGCGCGCACACACACACACACACATTTTTCCAGCTTCATATATTAAAAAAAAAATTCAGATCTAACAGAACTAGGCCCTCATTCTCCTAAAGCAGCCTGCTCTGCACTGAAAGGCAGCTGCTCTCGCAGCAAGAACTTACATTTTCCAGTTTACCACATTCCTACTGCTCTTACATGGTCCAACTTGGAGACTATTTATCACTGTGTTAATGGAGTTTCTTTCCATATGTTAGAGTCAGGAAAAGGAAATATTTTCTTCTGCTTTTCTCACTTCCCTTGTTTAACCATCTTTCCTGACTCAGGTACACATTTAAGTTTGCAAACCTTGACCCAGAGTCCTTATGTTAAGGAGAGGACCCTTGTTCCCTCTGCCCCTTAATCTTCTCATTTGTAAAATGGGAATGCTAAATCCTGTAACAGTGACTGTTGGGAAAGATTAAGTGAGATGACGGTGGAAAGGCACGTAGCAATACCAGCAAGAGCTCAATAAATGGTAACATTTACTGTTATATCACTACCATTATATGGCCACTTACTCATCTTTAGGGACACTGAGGATGGGGGTTCTGTCTGGTTTGGGGCAGAGAGTTGTACTGCCTGCAGGAAAGCCACCTAGAGCCAGGAGGAGCAACAGGAAGGAGTCTGTTCTTCAGCCTCTAGCCACATTGGGTAGGATGAGTGAGGAATGGGGTTCATCATTCCAAGGCAGCAACCCTCAAATCAAATGTCTTTTTCCTAACTCCAAAAGAATAAAAGTCGCCCACATATAAATTTTCTCCCAAACTTTTTGAAGGACTGAGCTCAGTCAGCCAATCCTCCTCTGTGTATTATACTTGGTCACTCTTGCCCTGTTAATTTTAATCATTTTAAAATGTGTGTGCCTTTTAAGTATATCCAAAGTAATGTTTTCTTAGGTTGTAGAGGTGGGACACATTGCTGTCTTCCTACTGTCAGCATAATATTCTCAGTTCATGTAGTAGATTTTAAAAGTAAGTGATTGGTAGGGTTCTAGAAACAATAACCATCATCTTAGGGAACACAAAAGAAACCTCTAAGGGGCAGCATTACTGTGCTGCGCTCTTTTCTGCTGGCCTTTTACAGATGGAGGTCAAGTTTCTAGCTAGCACCAAAATACTGACATCCTAACACTTTTTGGTGACTAAGATACCTCTTCCCACCATACAAAAATGTCCATTTGGGATAATAATTATTTTATTCTCAAATTTTGCTCAGTCTCATTCTGATGTAAGAGTCCCCAGAGGAGGCATGCCCATTAGAGAAAGGGTACCACTTTAGAGTCAGAGCCTCTCAGGTTGGAATACCAGTACAGGCTACAACAGGAAGCACTTCTGTCTATCTTATTCACCCCTATACCTCAGTGACAACGCAGTGCTAGGCACACAGTAGGACTACAATATATAGTTTGGGGTTTTTTGGTTGGTTGGTTGGTTGGTTGGTTGGTTGGTTGGTTGGTTGGTTTTTGGCATCAGGATCAAACTCAAGGCCTTGTACTTGTCAGGCAGGGGTTATGTTGCTGAGCTACATCACTGGTCAAGCAATATATAATTCTTAAACAAAAAAGTAAATGAAATGAGTGGTCACTTCCAACTTACTTCTTTTTTAAGATAATACTCCTACCTGCACGGATGATGGCATGGTGCATTTTTTAGCTTCCATTACTGTAGTGAAATACCTGAAGTAATTAACTTACAAAGAGAAAGAATTTATTTGGCTCACAGTTTTGGAGAATTCAAACTGTTATCTAGAAGATTCATTGCTTTGGGCCTCTGATGAAGGTGTCAGATGGTGAGGAGTGTAAGATGGCACCAAACTGCTTACTTCACGACCAGTAAGCAGATAAGAAAAAGAAAAGGGACCAAGGCTCCTTAATTCCTTTCTAAAGCATACCCTCAATGACTTAAAGACTCCCCCTGAGCCCCACTTCCTAATGAGTTGACCCCCTTCAAATCTTCAACATCTGGGCCTTTGAGAAATATTCAACACTCCAACTCTACCCCAGGAGTTACCTGAGAAAATTCAAGAGAAGGGGATGAATGCTTCTGGCCCAGTGGAGATTCAAGGAACTAAACTTTCTTCAGTAGTAATTTGAGATTTCATATCCAGGAAATATCTCTTACAAAATTTTCCAGACATTCTCTTTTGCCAGAAGAAGTAAATATTTTTAAAGGGCAGACAGGAAGGATGGGTGTGGTCAGGAGAAGATGGTAGAGCCTGAAGAACCAAGCCAATTAAACTCACAGCCACCATCTTGCTCCTCAGGTACACCTTTGGTGCAGCTCTGTTCGTGGGCTGGGTTGCTGGAGGCCTCACACTCATTGGGGGTGTGCTGATGTGCATTGCCTGCCGGGGTCTGGTGCCTGATCAAACCAAGTAAGTCTTCCATCCCCATGTGGTCAGACACTTCCTTTGCTCAGAGTCCATTTTATTGTATCAGTCTGGGTGTTTGGGAGAACTTAATTAACTAAAGGTCCATTGAACTTTCCCACTTTGGAGATTCTAAGATACAGAACAGAAATAGATCAGCCTAGAAAGACTAGGGGTGATACTATTTGAAAGGAAAAAGAAATATCCTAGGTTCCTTTTAGCTCCAAAGTTCTTTAACTCGGTCATCCTCAGTTGGGAGATATTTTGCACTATCACCTCTTTCCAGGATATTTGGCAACTCTGAAGACAATTTTGATTGTCACCATTTTGGTAAGGAGCAGAGGAAAGTGATATTGACATCTATTGTATACAGTGTAAGGAGGTTGCTGAACATCCTACAGTGTACAGGACAGTCCCTCACAACAAAGAAGCATCCATTGCAAAATATCACTGGGAATGGTGTTGCAAAGCCATGTTATAACTCCACAAGTGGACCCAGAGTTTTCAGAGCCAAATTCCAGTGTCACTGTACTGCTAACAGGTCCACTGCTCTCCAGCAGGTCACCTGTCCTCTCTGGGCCTCTGTCATAGTCCACTTGGGCTGCTATAACAAAATACCACAGAATGTGTAATTTATAAAAAATAACAATGTATTTCTTATGATTCTGGAAGCTGAGCAGTCCAAGCCCAAGATGCTGGCAGGCTAGGTGGCTAGGTGTCTTAGTCTCCACTTCTGGGTGCACTTTGGTGTTGTATTCTCTGGAGAAGAAAAGCCCTGGCATCACATGGCAGAGAGACAGGGACAGAGGAAGCTCCCTTCAACCTCAAGTACTTTTCTAAAGCACTAATTGCTCATGACTCAATCACTTTCAAACCAAAGCAGCCACTGTTACCTTACCCATAAAATGAGCCAATTAAGGGAGATGAGTTGTACCTAGGTAGCTTCCAACTGACAAATTCCATGATTCTTTGGAAAAAACAGTGTTTCCTGGAACATTATTCCTAGTTCCCCTTCATTGTAATTGATTAACAGAGACAACCTACTAGTCACTACCTTCCAACTTCATGACTCCCTAATATAAAGGCAAGAAATTCTGCTGTAAGCAGAGGCATAAATTTAGTATCTTACAGAATAGGGTGAACAACCATCTTGGTCTTCCCAAGACTAATGGGCTGCCAAGGACACTGGTCTTTTCATGCAAAAACATCCATGGTAAATGGGGAGATTGGTCCTTCTACTGAAGACATCTGTATTCATGGACTATTTCTTTGCTCCCAGCTACAAAGCCGTTTCTTATCATGCCTCAGGCCACAATGTTGCCTACAAGACTGGAGGCTTCAAGGCCAGCACTGCCTTAGGATCTCCCACCAGGAGCAAGAAGATCTATGATGGGGGTGCCCACATGGAAGACGAGGCCCAATCCCACCCTTCCAAGTACGACTATGTGTAATGCGCCAACATCCCTGGGCATGAGCAGAAGAAACTCTTCCTCAAAGACAGCTCACCAAAAATCAAGGAGATTCTACCTTGACTCTTCATTGCTTTTGACTCATGGCTGGAAGTTAGCCAAGACTTGATTTCATCTGCAGTGAGTCCAAATTGTCTTGGCCAAATATGTCCCTGTCTCTAAAAATTCCATCACAAAACAGCTGAGTTACTCTTTATGAATTGGAAGTTACGTAGCTCACATTTTATAATCCTGTTTCTTTTCTAAAACAACTTTTAAAATCTGCCTTAGAAGTGGTTTGAGGGCTGGGGAGATAGCTCAATGGAATAAGTGCTTGCCTGGCAAGCACAAGATCCTGAGTTCAATCCCTGATACCAGAAAGAAAAAGAAGAAGAAGAAAGTGGTTTGACTTCCTGACACTTTGATGATTTAAATAAATCCTTCCTCCTCCTTCTATTTACTAAATGGATTGATGATCTATTGCCCAGCTTATCGCAAGAAATATTTTTGAAAGGAAAGAAAACAAGTAGATCAAAAGACACCATTTTCTGCTATTTGATTATTTTCCTGTCTTTATCTTCAACTTGACTATTAATAAACACTAATTGGAGAAAAATGAAAGGGGAAAGATATTTTTAATCTCTCCAGACCATTATCTGAGTTTTTTACACTAAGATCTTAAAAGTTACTGGACCAAAGCCTTTTGGGCATCTGCTGAGTTGCAGCAGGACCCTCCCAGCAGTTTCCTGGGCTCTCCACCAGAGGTCCTCCTCCTGTGACAAGTCAGAAATGGTCCCTAGTGGAATGACAGAAGGATTTATTTTGTAATCTAAGTGCTAAATAGAGTTAGAATAAGTAATGTATTAGCAAAATGATATACTATATCTGTACATTAGTCTTATCCTTAAATATAGAACCTAGATATTGTCTACATAATAATTTATAAAGTCACTTAGAAGTCCAAATTCCACAAAAAGCTCGTTGATCCCAATTCTTTCCTTTTGAGGTTTCCATGATCCTAACTACTTCTAATAATGAGTATAACCCATGTTAAAATAATAACAGTGGGGGCCGGGGAGATGGCTCAGTAGAATAAGTGGTTTCCTGGCAAGCACAAGGACGTAATTTTAATCCCCGGTTCCACAAAAAAAAAAATAATAATAATAATAATAACAATAATAACAACAACAATGGAATACAGCAAGTCCTCAGAATGTGGGTTAAAAATCAATTCCTTTAAAAATGATAAGCCTAAATATCATGTTATGTGTACACATGTCCAAGACATGACAGCAGCCTCTAAGTGATATCAGGCTTAGCTCTGTTACTCTTGACAGCTATTTCCTTAACTAGATTCATCTAGAGTGGGTAGAACAGTGGATGTGGAGGCCAACCTGAGAGTTCTTTGCAGCCACGTGCCTTCCCTCGCTTATTAGCTTTGTTTTTAACAGAAAACCTCAATTTCTTCCAGGGTACAAGAAGCCTTTCTCACCACCAAAGCCAGAGTAGGCTCCCTGGGACACAGAGGTGAAGGCTGTTTCTTAAAACTACCAAACCAGGGCGCAGCAGCAATGCTAAGACACTGCCATTGGGCTATTAATCAGAGGGTGGGGAACCCTCCCATCAATAGTGTATTCAGAAGCAGCCTCCAGGCACTTGGTGAATACGCAAAAAAGGTCTTCAGGCTGAACAGACTTCCGTTTCTATAAACACCATGTTCAGAGCAGTAGGAGCTGTGTTCACCAGAGAAGTCAACTCTACATCTTCCTACTGTAGTGGTTTCATGCCAATTAGGACAGGGTACTCAAAGAATTCATTTCCTGAGGAGGGGTAAAAAAGAAACAGATAAATAGATTTGAGGGAGAAAATAATGAAGGATGAGTAATCTAGAGTACAGATCGTTACGAGTTCTCAGGATCTGAGCTGAAAGCCACAGGCAAAATGAGTCCCCCTCCCCACACAGCCCCCAAAAATCTGGCCAGGTCTGAGGCAGTGAGACTCAGCTGAGTTCTTATTAGCACATTCTCTATCCACATTTATTGTTCAAAAATCTCTATATAGTTAGGTTATGCTTCATAATATTGTATTGTTGGTCCGTCTTACCGTGTATGTATTGAGTATTGACCTGTATGTTTTAGGAATTAAATATTAAAAGCACTGCTTTCTTCCATTTGAATGGCTTCTGTTCTTTTTCATAAACTTTAGGAAGCACAGCTGGGAAGTCTGAGCACTTCAGAGCCAAATACACCTTTCCAGGATTGATTGTGCCTGCAGAACTCTGCTAAGCACAAGTCTGGGAACCTGGTGGCCAGCTAAATCTAGGTCCAGCCCTATTAGTGTTTTCTACGAGTTTGGGACCCTTAGTGAAAGGGGTTCCCAGAGCAACGAGGCATGAAGCTTAGGGTGCAGGGACCAGTTGAGCCTGTTTAACCTTAAGTGTACCAGCCTGAAGTACCTACCTAATGTCATTGCCCCATCCCCTGCTCCTAAAGTAGGAGCACCCTCTCAAGACTGCCAAGTATTGGATTGAATAGATCACAAATCTATACTCATTAGGTCTATATCAGATTATAAAAGTAAATGACATACAAAATTAGAACAGCACGAGCTCAATTCCAGGTCACACCATTTCCCAGATGTTAACTAAAAACAAAGAACTTACCCTTTCTGAGTCTCACTTTCCCCATCTATAAAATAAGGATATGGGAATTTTCCCAAAAGAACTGAAAACTTCATATCATAGTGATACATGTGTGCCTATGTTTATAGCAGCACAATTTATTTTTTTCATAATTTTATTGATAAACAGATAGCAATGAGACAGTTTCACATCAAATCGCTAGGACAGTTTCAATAACTAACACACTGCATACATTCTTCTTAGTGGTTAATTGCTGTATAAGATGTGGACTTGAGATCCTATTTACAAACACCATTAGAACAAATCATTCTATTCATTAAGAGAATGTAACTATATATCTATCCCATCCACTTTGAATACACAGATACAAAATGGACATTCATCTGTATACCCCTTTTTTTCTAAGTTCCGTTATTTGAATATTATAGGTGTGTAAACTCAGCAAAATATTCTAAAAGAGTCCAGTAGCCCTTAATAGCATTGGGTCTTCTGTTTAACTGGCAATGTCAGAAATTATTGACCTGAGTCCCCCACAGCTCAACATAACATCATGGCTTTACTTCCTATATTTCGTCTTCATACTTTTCTACTGGATGGTTAACACCAAGGTAAAGCAGGACCTGTGCAACAAGAGTTGTAGCTTTTTGGTCTGAGAAGGTCAGTGAAATGCCCTCAGGATTTATCCTGAGATCCTGTACCTCCGATTGTAGAACCTTTGTCAGTGTCAGCCATGTGGATGAGTCACGGCCATTGCTTGGCCAATGAGCAGCACAATTTATGATAGCCAAATCTTGGAAACAAGATGCCCATCACCTGAGAAATGGATGAAAAAGATGTAGTGCTTGTATACAATGGAGTACTACTCATCTATAAAGAAAAATAAACTCGAAGCCTTCATATATAAGTGGATGCAACTTGAAGGTATACTCCTAAGTGAAATAAGCCAGATCCACATGTGTCAATATTGTATTGTCTCCCTAGTATAAGAACTCAAAAGAAAAAATAAAAATTGAAAGGTATAACACAATTAAACGGAACGAGAAAACTTAAGGATTAAACAACAAAGAGAGAGAAAGGAGAAAAGTTAGGAAATATGACAGGGGCAAAACCATACATTTATTTAAACAAGATGGTTAAGGCAATGGTCCTAAGACTCTCCATCAGGTTTTTGAAAATAGCAGTTAATGGGTAGAATTCTTACCCTGACTAACTCTATCTGCTGATATTTGTGAACTAAGCAACTACACTGAGGATAGCAATGTGTAATACTAAAACCATGCTTGAAATACCTGTCATTTTAGTCATCTAAATGCATACTACTTCTAATGTTATATCAATTATTGCTATACTCTCTTTAAAATTATTTTTTCAGAATAAGTAATAAAATAAGAGACAAGGAAAAGAAGTTATATAATTGTCCTGCTACAATGTTGTATATGGTTTGATTCCTAAATTTCTGTGTAAAAACATGTAATTGTTTTTTCCAATTCTATAGGGATTGAAATTTTAGAATATCCATGGTTGCTGGAAAACAGCAGTTCTATGTTATGTCTAAGGCATTTGATATTCAGATAGATAGGGATGTCAAGCTCAACTGCCTCAGGTACAGGGTAATAATATCATTAAGCTTCTCTTCTGGGTGTTTAACAACTAAAGTTTGCAGATCAAAAATTAGAGAAATAGAAGGACTATGAGGATAGCCAATATTTTGGCCTTAGCCCTTCAAGGTCAATGAGGACTCAGAACATAAGAGAACCTGTGCTGTGACATCCTATAACTCAGTGGTTATCCAAATTTTCTGTTATGGGACCACAATGGTAAGTGATCAACAATGTATAGTGTGCCTAAGGAGAGTCACC